CAATGTCTGGTGAATACAGTGGATGAATCAGAACTTCCCAGCCAGGCTATAACAGTTTTTGCCTGGTCATCAAAGAAACATGCGGTCTTGTGTTATCGTGATGGAAGATTATGCGTTTTCTGTTGACTAATTCTGGACACTTTTCGTCAAGTGCTGCTTTCACTTGGTCTAATTGGGAGCAGTACTTGTTGGAATTAATCGTTTGGCTTTCCGGAAGGAGCCCCTTCCAATCCCACCATATATACACCATCACCTTCTTTGGATGAAGACCGGCCATTGATGTGGTTGGTGGTGTTCATTTTGCTTGCCCTCTGCTCTATTCCATTCCACATTATAGTACAGTATCCACTTTTCATCGCCCATCACAATATGTTTTAAAAATGGAACATTTTCATTACATTTAAGTAGAGAATCGCATGCAGAAATACGGTCAAGGAGGTTGTTTCACTTATCTCATGTGGAACCCAAAGATCAAAGCCATTAACATAACCAAGCTGGTGCACATGATTTTCAGCACCTGATTTGGATATTTTGAGTATGTCAGCTGTCTCCCGCATGGTATAACGTTGGTTGTTCTCAATTAATGTCTTGATTTGATCACTATCAACTTCAGCTGGTCTACCCAACCATGGAGCATCATCCAGCGAGAAATCTCCAGCACAAAAGTTTGCAAACCACTTTTGACACATTCTATCAGTCACAGCACCTTCTCCATACACTGCACAAATCTTTTTGTGCATTTCAGTTGCGTTTTTACCTTTCTTGAAATAATAAAGCACAATATGCTGAAAATGTTGCTTTTTTTCTTCCATCTTCAATATTAAAAAGGCTGCACAAAAATTCACCAATTTTGATAAGTCTTTTTTTAAATGCATGTTGATATGACAGCTGTCACATACAATCTAATAAAATTGTTTTGAACGAAGTTAAAAACAACCAAGGGCTACTAGAGCCATCTTATGGGAAAATACCAAATGAACCTTTTGGCCACCCCAATACCTTTGAATAAAGTGTGATAAAAACAAGTTATGACTATACCAATATGAACTCATGGATTTTTAATGTATCTGATGGTAATTCTGCATCATTAATCTTCTTGATGTTCAGAGAGAGCCTTGTAGGTTGATTTCTGTGAACTTCTCATGGAGTGACCCAGGCAGTATTTGAGAGCTTCCATGTTTCCTACTGTGACTAGCTTTTCCAGATTCTAGTATATTCCCTGCTCTAGATTTGGAATCAGCCAGTGGGCTCTAGTTCCCTTTAGTAGGAAATAGTGTTTAGAGATCGTAATATATGTGTTAAAGATACACATTTTTATTGAGTCATTGCTTCTAGGCCTTCTCAGTTGACAGAGATAGAAAATACATTTTTTTAAGAAAAATACACGATAAATTTTTACTATTTTCCTATTCTAATTTTAGATTACAAGGATTTTACTTTTTTAATTTTATATTTATCTCTTTTCATTTACACTGAAAATCTTGGTTCCTAATAACATGATTACTTAACTTGTTTTATTCATGTGTGTGCAAATATGTCTAAGATAATTTCAAAATAATAGTACCACCAACAAGACTATAAATGTTGTTTAAAGCTTCTTTGGGGTTCTCTTTTATTGTAGGATATATCCCATGAGGAATAGGCACTTAAAGTACTATGTTTTAAAAATCTCTTGAAAGAACTTTGTGAAATTGCAGTTAAGAAGGTACACATTAAGTTCAGTTGTTTTAGGGTGGTTTAGGGGATTGCTTTTTTTTAATTTAATTTATTTTGTTATTATATAAAAATATTTTGTGGTTCCAAAATCAAAACTCTGAGGTACATACATTGAGAGAGGCCTTGTTTTCATCCTGGTCCCTTCTCCTGAACCCCATTCCCCCACCTATAGGTAACCATTTTATTTTTTATTAGTTTTGTGTATATCCTTCCCTTTTATTACTCTTTAAAAGGCAAAAAATATATATAATCATATCCTTTCTTCTTACACAAAGGTAGCATAGTACACATGTTCCATGCTTGCTTTTGTTGGTAAAAAATGTATCTTAGAGATCACTCCTTTGCTATATGTAGAGATATACTAAATATATATGTAAATATAGATATACTAAAATATATATATAAAAGATTACTTTTTATAACCATGTGGTACTGCATTGTATAGTTGCACCATAGTTTATTCAGCCAGTCCCTTAATGATGGACATTTTGCTTTTTTCTTGGGTTTTCCTGTTGCAGTTAAGGCTGCAATGAATAGCCTTGTGCTACCTCATTGAATATTTTTGCTAAAGTATCTTTGGGAAATAGTCTTAAAAGTGCTAGGTCAAAGAGTAAATGTCTATGTGTTTTTGCTCCTTATTGATAAATTCCCCTCCATGTGGCGTTGCACAATTTTACTTCACCAGCAGTACAGAAGAATTTCTTTTTGCCCAGAGCCTCACCAGCAGAGTATTTTGTCAAACTGCTGGTTTTCTTTCGATGTGACAGATGAGGAAGGATAGCCCATTATAGTTTTAATTTGTAGTTTTTAAAATTATAAGTAAGATTGAAAATTTTTTCATGTATTTAAGAGACATTTGCGATTCTTTTTTGGTGAACTGTTTATTAATTTTCTTTTTCATTTTTTTAGGTTAATTGGCCTTTTTCTTCTCAATTTTTAGATGCTTTTTATATATTAGGAATATAACCCAGGCTTTTAAAGCCGAAAGTAAAGTTTGTCAGAATGAATCAGCAGATGCCTGTAGGACAAAAGCAGCTTCATTGCGTTGTCTACCTGACTGATTTTATTTGATAATTCCATACTATTTTGTTACTTCAATAATTTTATAAAGATATATTTTTACACTTTATTTGGCTGTTTTAGTTGTTTTTTTAGCAAGAAGTTCTGAATAACCTAGCTCACCACAGCCCTTAGAAAAGGAAATATTTTATCCTTTGCTTTTAAAATTTTATCTCTTATTTGATATTTTACATAAAAAAGTTAACATATGCACATTTGAAAGTTTTGTTCATTTTTGAAGATTTATACCTTTAAAGTATCATTAATTTTAATTAAAAAATATATTTACAGTCATAATAGACTGCATTTATAAATGCAAAGTGAACATCGCTTAAAATAATGTAGGTAATTACTTCCAGTGGTTTGTTTTTCCTGTATCTCTAGAACTTAGCCCAGTGGCTAAACATAGGTGGGTCCTCAATAAGTCATGAATTAATGGTACGTGTATGTATATGTATACACAGGCACATTTATTTATTTTTTAATATGTTGAACCATATGTTTTAGGCACTTTTTTTTTCATTTGTTTATTTTTGGCTTCATTGGGTCTTTGTTGCTGCATGCGGGCTTTCTCTAGTTGCAGCAAGCGGGGGCTACTCTTTGTTGCAGTGCGTGGGCTTCTAATTGCGGTGGCTTCTCTTGTTGCGGAGCACAGGCTCTAGACACGGGCTCAGTAGTTGTGGCTCGTGGGCTCTAGAGTGCACCCTCAGTAGTTGTGGCACACGGGCTTAGTTGCTCTGCGGCATGTGGGATCTTCCCAGACCAGGGATTGAACCCGTGTCCCCTGCATTGGCAGGCGGATTCTTAACCACTGCGCCACGGAAGTCCCACATGCACATTTAAATTCAGGGTGTTTTAAATTAGGATACTCTAACAGTATACAGTAAATGCAGAGTGTTGTTTAAATGTCTCTGAATTTATGTGTGCAAATCATTATATTAGGATTGAGGGTGTACACTTACAAATAGGGTATAGTTCTTGTGCTTAAGAAGCTTAAAGTGAAATGTCTATCAGTTGCTTATTCTTAAGCTCTTATGCCACATACCTGAATATTTTAAAATAGCAATATTTCACTTAATCTTTAATTAAAATTAAAACTTTGCTGTCCTTTGGTCCCAAGGCTCCTGCTCTTTCCACTTTGATTTTTCTTCTCAGTCATCTCACGTCTTCAAGGTGACCTCATCTTAATCTCAACTAAGCATCTATCTCTGTGGAGTTTTGCCATGTCTCTTTAAGGCCAAATTGTGATTTTAAAGGTTCTAAATTTAATTGGCTACTGTTTCATTCACTCTTTAATTCGGGCTTTGTGATCTGACCATATGTTCTCTTCAAGGCCGCACCTTCCTAGAAATAATAGTAATAAATATATTTATATATTTTAATCTTTGTATTATTTACAAATGTAATATTTAAACTATCATCTAGGAAATTATTAAAGAGAAATAAAGAGTAAATATTCAGCTCCCTAGGGTCCGTCTAAAGTCATCCCTGATTTATAATCTTCATTTAGCTTTGAGTAACCCTCTGTGTGTGTGTGTGTGTGTGTGTGTGTGTGTGTACAAAGATACATGTATCCTCCATTACATACACAAACTAGTAGTGTAATGATGTTAAAACACAAGCATATTATAATACTTTTATCTCATAATTTTTTCTGTTTAAACTGATATTGTTAATGACTGGTAGATTTTTTTTAATATATATTTTTTCTTAATTTTGTAGAATAAATAAGCAAGTAAAAGTGCATAAACTAAACAGAATAGTTATGACCTCGAAAAAATACTGAATTCTTTAAACCAAATACATATCTTACAGTATGAAACTAATTTTTTTAAAACTGTCTACTATTAATCCTGCATTTTCTCAAAATTATGCTTAAGAATAATTTATTATCTTTTAAAAGAAAAAAATGAATAAATCAAATAAAACAGTGAAAGTCTTTAAATCGTTAGTAACTGCTGTGGTTGCCATGCATTCTCTCATTTAAAGTAAGATTGTTTCTCTTGTCTGTCTTTACACATGCCTGTTTCCCTTTGGGTTTTATGCCATGCTGGTATTTAATCTGTGTGTGGATCTGATACACTGTTTTCCACCAGCAGTAAATACTGTGGGAGACTGATAGAAGCAGACCAACTTTATTTTTTAATACATATAGATATATAGAAATTGCGGCATTGCATATTTTTAAATGTTTTGAAGTGACTTCTTTGTCTCTTTTGCTTTAGTTTTTACCAGATTCGTGCGTCTATGAAAATTCCACCAAGAGTTCCCCACAGAGTAGAAGCTAGTTTGTTACATGCAGCAGGTAAGCCAAGGGATATTTTCAACTGTTTTTTAAAAATGTGAAGCAATATTATAATGACCAATAATAAATTTCATAATTATTTTTATCTTTTAATTACAAATATAAGATGCCACAGAGCATCATTCTCATACCTCTTATAAAAAATATATTTGATGCCTTAGTAAAACAGGCTTGATTATAGGTTCCTTGTCTCCCTCTTAGCTTTCTTATGATGAGTGAATAAAAGAAAGTATGTGAAATTTCCATGAAACCAAACATAAGTGGGGGTGGTATCATTTATATCATGTAATATATAAATTTAACAAATACACAGTAAATGTGGACACATAATTTGACATATGATCACAAAGGTGTTTTATGATAAAGTTTTATAGTATGCGTTTTGAGAATATTTTTCAACCACTTTTTTTTTTCTGGTTGATTACTCTAATTAGAAAACAAAGGGCCAGAAAGCATAAAATAGACAAGTTATAGCAGCTCTTTTATTACTCATATTCTGAGGAGACACACCAGCATTAAAGGATTGGAGCCAAAACTGGTGGCCCTGACATAATCATTGGGCATTTTTTGAGCTTTCCTGATACAGTGTACTCTGTTTCAGTCTAAGCAGTTAGAAAACGAAATGGTTAATGAAACGTACTAGAGAGTTATCATATATTTCTAATATGAATTACTAGTTTTCAAAGCATCACAAAATAATAAGTATACCTAACATTAAAGCTATGTTGAGCACAGTTCAGTTCATTTTTGAAATTTAAAAATACATTCTGGGAATTTGAAGTGTTGAGCATTATCTTTCTTAGAGAACTATGGATACCAAAATGCTGGTTAATGTTAAAGTTTAATGAATTGTACATAATGGAGAGTTTACTCTTTCTGAAGACTGTCAAAATGCTCAGGGAGGCCTATTGCTTATGACCAAAAATATGTACCTTTTTTCTTTTCAAAGTTAATTTTCTTCTTGGGCTGGTGTACATGTTGGAGTATACATTTATTGTCAATAGGTCTTTTGTAAGTCTACTTTCTAGGAAACAGGTTAAAACAACTAATGTTTCAGGACAGATTGGTACTGCCTTTTTGACCTTTCTTAATCAGCAGACTAAATGTCCTGCTCTGTTGTATCTCCTAAAATTGCCAGTTGGAAAATACTGTAGAAAAACTTCTTTTTTCTGGACTACCTTTTTATTTATATATATTTTCAGCTTTATAGAGGAATAATTGACAAATATCATTTTACATATTTAAAGTGTACGATGTGATTTGTTATACACATACATTGTATAGTACATATACATATGTGATTTGTTATACAGATACAATGTGAAAAAATTGCCATGGTCAAGATAATTAGCACATCTATCACTTCACATAGTTAGTTGTTTTGTGTGTTTGTGGGAAAGAAGGCCTAAGATTTATTCTTAACAGATTTCAGGTATACAGTACTTTATTACTAACTATAGTCATGCTGTGCGTTAGATCTGCAGAACTTATTTTTCTTATAACTAAAAGTTTGTACCCTTTGACCTACATCTCCCCATTTCTCCCACACCCCAGCCCCTGGCAACTGCCATTCTACTGTCTGTTTCTATGAAACTGACTTTTTTGTTTCGTTTCCACATGTAAGTGATAACATCCAGTATTTGTCTTTCTGTGTCTGACTTATTTCATGCAGCTTAATGCCCTCCAGTTTCATCCATGTTGCTGCAAATGACAAGATTTCCATCTTTTTTTATGGCTGAATAGTATTCCATTGTTTAAAGAAGAACTGCATTTTCTTTATCCATTCCTCCACTGACAGACACTTGGGTTATTTCCACGTCTTGGCTATTGTGAATGATGCTGCAATGAAAATGGGAGTGCAGAATTTTCTTTTAGATACTGATTTCATTTCTTTCAAATATATATTCAGGAGTGGGATTGCTGGATCATTTGGAGGTTCTATATTCAATTTTTTGAGGCTCCTCCATACTGTTTGCCATAGTGACTGCACCAATTTACATTCTCCCCAACAGTGCGCAAGTGTTCCCTTTTCTCCACATCCTGGCCAACATTTGTTATTTCTTGACGTTTTCATAATAGGTATTCTGACAGATGTGAAGTGGTATCTCTTTGTGCTTTTGATTTGCGTTTCCCTGATGATTAGTGATGTTGAGCACCGTTTCATGTACCCGTTGGCCATTTGTATGTCTTCTTTGCCAAAAAATGTCTGTTCGGTTCCTCTGCCTATTCTAAAATCAGATTGTTGTTTTGCTGTTGAGTTGTTTGGTTCTTTATATATTTTGGACATTATCCCCTATCAGATATATGATTGGCAAATATTTTCTCCCAGTTAGTAGGTTGCTTTTTCTTCTGTTGGTGGTGTCCTCTGCTGTGCAGAAGCCTTGTAGTTTAATGTAGTCCCACCTGTCTATTTTTGCCTTTGCTTTGGTGTCAAATCCAAATAATTGTTGCCAAGACCAATGTCAAGGAGCTTTTCCCCTTTGTTTTCTTCTAGGAGCTTTGTGATTTCAGGTCTCAAATTTAAGTCTAATCCATTTTGAGTTAATTTTTGTGAGTGATATAAAATAGGGGTCCAGTTTGATTCTTTTGAATGTGAATGTCCAGTTTTCCCAGCACCACTTTTCGAAGAGACTCTTCTCCTTATTATGTGTTCTTGGTGCCTTGTCAGATATTAGTTGACCATATGTGGTGGGCTGATTTCTGGGCTCTTTTTTGTGTCATTGATCTATATGCCTGTTTTTATGCCAATACCATACTTCTTTGATTACTATAGCCTTGCAATGTAGTTTGAAATCAAAAAGTGTGACGCCTCCAGCTTTGTTCTTTTGTTCTCAAGATTGCTCTGGCTATTCAGGAACTTTTGTGGTCTCGTACAAATCTTAGGATAATTTTTTCTATTTCTGTGAAAAATACCATTGGAATTTTGATAGAGATTATATTGAATTTGTAGGTCACTTCAGGTAGTATGGATATTTTAGCAATATTCATTCTTCCAATCCAAGAACACAGGTTATCTTTCCATTTATTTGTGTCTTCTTCAGTTTCTTTCCTCAGTGTCTTATAGTTTTCAGTGTACAGGTCTTTCATCTCCTCTGGTTAAATTTATTCCTAAGTATTTTATTGCTTTTGATGCTATTGTAAATGGGATTTTCTTCTTGATTTCTCTTTCAGTCAGTCCATTGTTAGTGTATAGAAATGCAACTGATTTTTATATGTTGATTCTGTGTCCTGCAGCTTTATTAAGTTCATTGATTAATTCTAACAGCTTTTTGGTGGAGACTTTAGGGTTTTTATGTATAAGATCATGTCATCTGCATACAGAGATGATTTTAATTCTTCCTTTAAATTCTTTAATTTAATTAAAGAATTTAATTCTTCCTATTTGGATGCCTTTAATTTCCTTTTTTTTGCCAGTTTGTTGTGGCTAGGACTTCTAGTACTGTGTTGAACAGGAGTGGTAAGAGTGGGCATCCTTTTCTTGTTCCTGACTTGAGAGGAACACTTTGAACTTTTTACCACTGAAGATTTGTTAGCTGTGGGCTTGTCATAAATGGGCTTTATTATGTTGAGGTACATTCCTTCTGTACCTAATTGATTGAGAGTTTTTATCATGAAAGTATGTTGAGTTTTGTCAAATTATTTTTCTGCATCTGTTGAGATGATCATATGATTCTTATCCTTCATTTAATCCTTCATTTATCTTCATTTCGTTAATGTGGTATATCACGTTTATTGATTTGCATATGTCAAACCATCCTTGCATCCCAGGGATAAATCCCACTTGATCATAGTGTTTGATCCTTTTAATGTGCTCTTGAATTTGGTTTGCTAGTATTTTGTTGAGGATTTTTGCATCTTTGTTCATCAGAGCTATGGTACACAAAGATATCAACACTTTTACAAATGCAGTGGCCCTGAATGAACTGTAAGACGTGCTGCTTTTCCTGCCCAAGACCATCCCCAGCTTGGCTACCTTTTATGTGTGTCATGTTCCACAGCTTCTGAACCATCCTCTGAAACCTCCCTGGGAATATAAATCTGGCATCCCAATTGTATTTCCTGCCAGTATACCCCAGAGTAGCCTATGGTGTTGAATGTTTAAGTTTGTATGAAAATTATAGAGAATAATGGTTGATGGAATGTCATGACTTATTAGAGGCTCACAGATATAGTAGATCCAAAATAATGTTCAGGTGAGTTTCCTCACCAGCAATCTGAAAAACAAAGAGCAAAGAAAGGCAGCCAGTTTATTCCAATCTAAGAGGTATTAGTTCTTTTCTCTTTTTATGTCTTTCCTCCCCCACGATTTGTTTCATTTTAAAATGATATTTAAGAGTTTCTCGAGTATGTGTACCTTTTTAGTATTAGTAAATTTGTTAGGAAAAAGTATCCTTCCAAAATTTTTCTGCCTCCAGAAATTACTCCTATGTATTTGGCTGATTTCTAGACTCATCCTTGCTAACAACATAAATATGTTTAAGTCTCTTTTCGCTTCTGTTCCTTAACAGTTCACATTTCCTTCCAAGGGCTTGAATTTTCTCTGTACTTTTTGTTACATACCCTGTTTTTCTTCTAATTTAGATTTGTGCTTCCATCTCAAGACCTTTTCTTTCCAGCTCTATATTTTACCATATATCCTACACCAGGTGTATATTTCTGGAAAACTTTTAAGAAGAAGAGAAAAAAATGATGATTTTGCCTGTGAGTTGTAGTAGGCAGGTTAGATGGTTTGGGAATTAGATGGTGTTATACAGCTTATTGCAACATGTTTAAATTATTTCCAGCACAAGATTGTGCTGACAGTGAGAGGCTTGAGTCAGGACATAGCTGTCATCTTATAATAACATCAGTCATGAGAGACAGTGAGTATTTATGGGGCTGTTGAAAACAGAATCATAACAGTGCATTCAGAGATTTTTACAACAGAGAAGTCATTGCCGGTTCTGGGAAGCTGGCCCCAGTTTGAAATGTTAGAAGACTATGTACAATTTTGATAAAAA